ACGTGTAGGGGCAAGGGACATGGGAGATGTCCATACCTTCCTCTCGATTATGCTGTAAACCTACAACTGCTCTAAAAAAAAATCACATCTTGAAAATAAATGGTATTCAAAGTGTGAAAAAAAAAAAACAATTCTTGGTACCTGTTGGAATAAATCATAAAGATTAAAGGACATAAGGAAAGCTAATACTTCCATCAGAAAGTAGGATAGCTTTATTCTAATTCATGATTATTCTGACATAACCCGTGCGCATAGCAATTTAGTTTGGGGTTGTGATATTTTCATCCCAAACCAGCTTGTGACACAGTGGTTTTTCATAGTAAATAAAGGACCCACAAAGAAAACCCCTGGAGATTGCACAGCTGCCTGACACATGTAGTGCTAGAACAAGACCCATACCATTAACTGGTGCTCAGACTTGGTTCACTATACTGTACTGAGCGTAGAGAACCTAAAAAATTAGGCTCTAAGCAGGGTCATTTCCACATGGAAAGAAAGCCAGGGCCAATGTTCTGCATCTAGCAGCGGAAAGAGCAGTACACAGTGAGCTCAGGCCTATACTGAGATGTTTGCCCTCTTCTGCTGCTCTAGGTGCCTGAGCTGGAGCAGATCCCCTAACAAGCGCCAGAGGAGAGGGCAGGAAAGAACCTGTGGAGATAGGCTCTCGCTGTAGTTTGAAAACAGGTTTTTTTTTCAAAGTGCAGGAAATTCAAAATTGGAGCTTCTAGAAGCAGCTTACTAATACTGCAAAGGGGATCACACCTCAGTCATCCACATTTGCTTATTCAAAATATGCAAACCACATTAACTCCCAATTCCTATATGCAAAATGTCAAGGTGAAGTGAGAATTTTAAGAGGAGTCTCATAACACAGCTTCATTATTTCCATAAACACCGTGAACTTGCTGATGGCAGCACGAATTGCCTAATAAAATATTATTTTGGTATTAACCTTATTTTCTAAGACCACATCTTTACATCCAGCCTGATACAACCATTCTAGCAATCATTACAATCTTGACTTCCAAATAAGGTTCTAACATAACTCCTCTAAGAGAGGAGCAAACAGCAAAGACCCAGAAGTTCCTTAGCACCACTTTGGTAATACCTCAGGCCACCTAGTTTGATTTAAAAAAGAAAAGAAAAAAAATTTCAATAAAAAGAATCCATTCTTTACTGCCAATGAGGAGTTTTTAAAAATTACATTTAAAATTAAAAGCACTATAGCTGGTTCTTTTATTCTGGCTCCGCATTATAAAGGATAAAACAAGAATGGCCCTTCTTGCCTTACCTTTCATGGATCCGTGTGTTTATGTCAGTCCCTCTGCATGACATCCGTACAGGGGAGACAAACACAGTGGTAAGAGAAGAATCACGGCTCCATGCCTGCCCCCTAGAATGTTCACACAACCTTCTAACATTTATTATGCACCTTCTACGTGACAGAAATTTGTACTAAGTTCTGGGTTAATGATAAAAGATATAGCCCCTGTTTTCAAAGAGTTCACAGTCTTTTGAAGGACGTGACAAGCTGACAGACTGGAAAACTAGAGCCCAGACAGACCTATGCACAGTCCTGAGTACAGAGAGAGGGGGGAGAAGGTGGGGTCAGAAAAGTCTTCCTGACAGCTTGGAGCTGAGTGTTGAAGGTTAAGTTTGAATGAGCCAGGTGGGGGGAAAGAGGAAGGGTTTTAGGCCTAGGAACCAAAGTGTGCCAAGGCCCAGAGGCGTGAAAAACTGCCAGGGGGGTGAGAAAGGAGCCTTGTGGTCTGTGGTAGGGGTGTGGGTCTTCAGCCAAAGGTAATGGAGCTCCACTTTGGGAAAGTAACAAGATCAGATTCACACTTTCTGAAAGCTGTCTTTGGTGGCTTGGGTGGCACGCAATAAAGACATCCCAAACTGGACCAAGTTAAAGGCGATGCAAGAATTCAGAAAAGGCCTGAATTTCTTCAAACATGTGTCATCATCATCATCACCATCACCATCATTAATATATCGAGGGTCTACAGTCTCATAAGTACCATGTGTGCCTTATCTTATTCGATCCACACAATAATAATAGTGCCATTACTATACCCACTTTATTGCTAAGGAAAGCAGGTAAGAGACTTGCCCTCACAAAGTAGTATTTAGCAAAGTTAAGAATGAAGCTAAGGAGTTTTGGTATTAGGACCCATTGCTTAACTACAACCCCACACTGCTGCAAGTGATTTATGGAATGTAAGGAGTAGTCACATTACCAAGTTTGGGTTTCTATCACTTCTCTGGATACAAAGCACTCAAGTGGTAGGTAGGCAGGCAGGAGGCTGTGGCCATGACTCTTAATAATTAGGGAGCCTCAAAAATTATGTGTTCTCTGAGTCCATGTACTCAAGAGACAAAGAGGGGAAACATTCAAAATTATATAGTATAAGTACATGTTTTGTGGGGTGCCTGGGTGGCTCAGTTGGTTAAACAACTGTCTTTGGCTCAGGTCATGATCCTGGAGTCCCAGGATGGAGTCCGGAATCGGGCTCCCTGCTCAGCGGGGAGCTTGCTTCTCCCTCCGACCTTTCCCCTCTCATGCTTTCTCTCTCTTTCTCACTCTTTCTCTCTCTCAAATAAATAAATAAAAATAAAATCTTGTAAAAAAGAACATGTTTTGTGACCAATACATGAAGATTAAACACATCAAACTCTTAACTGGAAACCTAACTGATTTTATCTGAAAGAAAAAAAAAAGTCAAGAGTAATCCATTGCTCTCTTTGCTCACGGACTGCTGAACTATTATCCTAATGCTCCAGATTTTATTCCTCATAGTTGTATGGGTTTTTAATTCCAACCTGTTCCCTTCTGACTAACCCATTCTCTATGACAAGAACGTTTTATTTGTACTTTTGTACATACGTTACATTATCAAAATATTGACTATTGAACTTAGTATTTTATTATTTTGAAAAGATAGGATGATTGTACTCTATAATAAGCACATCTCATTTGAAGTGACAGTTTCCAGACCCATTCATCCAAGCAAGAACTTCATTATTTCTGGCAGAGATCCCAGAGAGGATCTCCATAACTCAAAAACTCAAGTATCACTTTTGTTCAGGACCAACCATTGTAATACTTCCAAAAATGTTAGAAATACACAGGTCCTCAAATCAATCTTAGAAACAATAATGGATATAGCAGGTAAGAATCATATTTCCAATTTCAAATATTTAGAGAAGTATCCTTATATTCAGGGATAAGTCTTTGATCACAAACAAAATGCAGCATTTCTAGATCTTTAGCAGAATTTGAGTCTACATTTTGTGGCATAGAAATTCTTTGTTCTTTTCTATACATAAAATTAATCTATTCCTTGTTTTTTTAAAGAGCCACACACCATATTTCATGAAAACACAGGAGCAAAGTAAATGATGCTCATCTTGGCCCTTGCTAATTGAAACAATTTTTTCAGATACTAAAGTGCAAATACAATCAATGTACTAAAAGTCCTGAATTATAATATGAACATAGACACTTCCTATTGCTATCACTTGACTTCTGTTAACCTTAAATTCTTGTTGGCGAAATAATATTTGTCTTTCAACTTATTTTGAAGTGGAAAGTAGAAGTTATGTGCCATGTAAGGGACTGTAAGCCCTTTGAGAGCAGGGACTCTGTATGTTCATTATTTCATGGCTAGCCCAATAATATCTTCCAGCTAAACAGTGCTTGCTAAATATTGGTTGAATGAATGAGTGAATGGAAGAATAAATGAAATGATGAAATAAAAAGAATTTAAACAATATCCTGATAATTCAGGCAAAACTGATTTTTTTATTTTGTTTCATTTTGTTTTGGTGTAGGAGAGGAAGGAAGATTCAAAAGCCAGGGTTATTGAACTTAATTGTCCACTATAATTGAATTCATAGAATAATTTAACTTAAATTCACAAGGTAATTTCTTTCCATTTACAGACACAATAATCTGATATGGGCACAGTGCCAACATGAACACTGGATTGCTGTGATCACTCAGAACTAACTCTGTTTTATTTGACTTTGTATTCTTTCCCAGGATAAAATTATTTCTTGCCCCTGTTTAGAATTTATATGTATGTCTGCTCATCTCCATTTCTCTAAGTAACCAATGGGTTAAACAAAATGTCTTTGTTTTGGTCAGGACAAAATAAAATTGAATTAAACTGTGTTTAATCCTTATTTCTGATTAACAATTTCTTATCAGTATTACAGGTTTAAAAACATTTGCTAAATTAGGATAAAATATACCTCTTATATGTTTATTTTCCTGACATTTAAAGAGCCAACTGTCTTTGACTTAAAAAAAAAAAAAGGAAAAAACGTGTAACATTTATCTTGAAGTCTAAATAAAACTGTAGTTTTTTTAAAAATCTGTGATATTTTTATTCTACCTTTATGATCAACATTTTAATCTTTTAAAAAGAGGAGGAAAATAAGCCAATCACAAAGGATATGAGGAATAAGTATTATTTTAAAAAAACACAAAGTAGAACATATACAGGAACATAGTTCAGGGAATTAACTCATATCTATTTAGAATCTTATAAATTAAAGTATCTTTTTCTGACATGATTCTAGGAACTTCATGAAATATTTGCTCTTATTATTAGCTCTTATAACTTTCACGGTTGTGTGGTTTTTAATTATTTCACAGCATGGCATGAACTTAATTCTCTAGAGGCAAATACTCATGAGCCCATCTTGATTACTTTTTACCCAGCATTTATTTAGAAGAAATAAGTAAAAACAGTGTATTAGGGTTTCTTATAAATAAATATCTCGGTATTGTCATAAACTCCAAAGATACAAGCTTTCAAAAACATAAAGCAAAAACACATTATATTCCCACTTTGGCTCAAGTATTTTTGATTACTTTCTGCAATTTGACTCATCAACTTCATATTCATTATTTTATTAGTACCCTTGAAATTCAGTCAATAACGTCATTGTCTTTGAACTACAGAAAATTCTCAGAATCCGATGCAACTTACCTTAAAGAGATTTGTTTTCACGAACTCTCTTTCCTATGACCTTGGTTCTCCATCCAAAGACAATGAAGAGACTCCCCTGTCTGCTCTTCCTTTCCTCTTCCCTGACATTCAGTGGCTTGATGGTTCCCTCTCTGTGATGAGCACCGCAGAAGACTCTCAGAGTATGTCTTCACTCCTGATGCCACACACCTTTTCTTGGCACTGCATCTGGTCCCAAGGGAAAATTCCTGCAGAAATTTCCTTCTCCATAATCTCTTGACAGATGGCTCTGCTGGCAAGAGCCTTAACTCTTAGGAGCCCTTTAATAGGCTTTTATTCTCCCGCATCGCCACCTCACGGGTTTTATTATTTAATGGCACATTGGTTGATTCCTCAATGTCCTAATGGGCTGAAGCATCATTGTCCCTTGTAGGACTTTCAGTTAATCTGTTTTTCTGTTTTTGATTTCAATAAATTTGCAAAGCTAGTTTTCTTTTAATATTTCATTATTTTTCTGCCTCTATACCTTGAGGAAATTGGAAAAAAAAGACTCAATTATTTATGTTAAAGCACAAACTGAATAAATATTGAACTGTTCAAATACAAATAAAGTAATTGGGTATGGGCATTGATAAAGCTGTAAACCAGAAAAAAAAAATCTCCCAAATATCAGTTTTCTTGACATTCTATGCATTCCTCTGATAAATGCCTTCTTTGTGTGCTTCTCCCGCCTCTGCCTCTCTTTCTCCCTCTGTCTCTCCCTCCCTCCCTCTTTCCCTCCTTCCTTCCCTTCTTCTCTCCGTCTCTCTTTTTCTTTCTCTCTCCAGCTGCCATCTAGATGATGTTACTTAAGACAGCAGACAGAATACTCATTTCTCAATTCTATCATCCTTATCCTTCAAAATGATGAAAATTAGGATGATTCAAAATGGGATAGCACACTAAAATGCCTACAAATTTAGGCAAGGGATTTGAGCCAGGGATCACGGGATCTTCATCCTTGAGATGAAGTAAGCAGTGGTGGGAAACAGAGCAGATTGGAGCAGTGTGCTCATTTGCACTCAAACTGCATTGTGACAAATATCTGTTTTTCAAAAGAATCCCCATATCTGTATTTTTATACAAAAAAAAAAAACTCATCCTTTTAAATGTTACAGGATACTTTATGGGAGCTAAGCCCCATACTGTGGCCCAGCCTCAGCCTGAGTATTGCCATATAATGACTTCTGATCTAGAATCGACTGAAATGAAATTAATGTCAATGCAAAGCACTACCATTTATAAATTATGAGCCCTTTTCTCATATGTGAATATGATGATAATAAAGTAGACTAGTTAATTCAAGTAAAAACAACCTATACTAATCTTTATTAAAGACTTTAGGCAGGGCATTAGCCAAAGAACCCATAAATGGTGTGGGCAAAGAGTAGCTCAAACCTGGATGAGAAGGACCAGGTTTACAAAACCCAATAATAATAAGTAATTTAATGAATAAAGAGTGAGAAATTTTGTTTGATTTGGTTTTATCTGGATTTCTTTCTCATTACTTAGGTACTCAGTACCTAGAGATTCAACAGTTGCATGGAACACTGTGCTCATTACATCCAGTGTCCTCCTTAATGCCAATCACCCAATTACCCCATCTCCCCACCCACCTCCCCTCCCAAAACCCTCAATTTGTTTCTTAGGGTTAAGAAACTCTCTCTCTGTTTTCATCTTATTTTATTTTGCCTTCCCTTCCCCTACGTTTCTCTGTTTTGTTTCTTAAGTTCCACCTATGAGTGAAACTACATGGTATTTGTCTTTCTCTAAATGATTTATTTCTCTTAGCCTAATACCCTCTAGTTCCATCCACATCATTTCAAATGGCAAGATTTCATTCTTTTTGATGGTTGAGTAGTATTCCGTTGTATATATACATATATACATATATATATACATATATATATACATATACATATATACATGTATATATACACATGCATACATGTATGTATATATATATCACATCTTCTTTATCCATTCATCTGTTTTTTCCAGTTATATAATTCATGTCAATGAATGCTCAAGCAGAAAAAAGAATTTCTGCATTACATATATACTTACCTTTCTTTATAAAAATTATATATCAGATATTTTGTTTGATATATATTAATAATATGTTAATATATTATTAGGCTGTTTTTTCACAAAATACTAAATATAGTATCAACTTTTCCTTATTTCAATCAATAATCTGCCACAATTTGGTATTTAAAGGGCTACATAGTATCCCATTGTTTGGATATAACATAACTTACCTGGCTAAACCCCTATACCAGGTACATTTTCCAATTTTTTCTTTACAATAAAGTATCTTTACTTAACAACTATTCCCTTATCTTCGTGTACATCTATTATAACTTTTCATGTCAAAATATATGTATATATCCTTCACAAAAGGTTGTGTCAGTTTACAATCCTACAACTATGATAAGTGAATTCATTTCCCTGCCTTCTCATCAAAATTGGGTAGAATCTATTTTAGGTGGAAAATAGATCATGTAATATTTTAACCTTACAAAACAAGCTTTCTTCTGCGTAAACCAGCTGAATGACTATTTTCCTTAATGATTTTTCTCTTGATTGACTGGAATGATAAGTTTATCTAGCAGTCTTCAGCATCAGCAAACTAACACCAGGCAATGGGAACCATCCAGACAGATGTCTGCGGGCTGACAGCTAAAGTACCTGGACATCAGCCAGCAGCAAAGGTGCTCCCCCACTTTGGGTCCCTGATACTTGGTGCTAATCAGATGGTTCATGCATTGGTTCTTGGGATGGTTAATTTTATGTGTCAATTTGACTGGGTCACAGGGTGCCCAGATTTTTGATTAAACATTATTTCTGGATGTGTTTGCGAGGGCATTGCCCAAAGACACTAGCATTTGAATCAATAGTCTGAGCAAAGCAGCTTGTGTTCTTCCCCAGTGTGGGTGGGTATCAGCCAATCTACTGAAAGCCAGAATATAACAAAAAGGCAGAGGAAGGGAGAATTCATTCTTTGTGCCTGCCTGTTGAGCTGGAACACCAGTCTTCTCCTGTCCTTGGACTAGACCTTCATGCTTGGACTGGAACTATACTATTGGCTTGCAGCTTGCAGGTGGCAGACTGTGAGACTTCTCAGTCTCCATAGTCATGTAGCCAGTTTCTCCTAATAAGTAAGTCTCTCTGTCTCTGTCCCTGTAGATAGATAGATAGATAGATAGATGATAGATATCCTATCAGATGCCTGACCAATAAGTATTGATTAAGATAGGAAAGTGGGGAAGCTTATTAGCTGATAAGTAAACTCTTTTCAAAAAATAGACTTTTAAAATCAAGATTAAATTGTGACATACATGTATCTCTAAAGAGAAATGTGATGTTAAGACTTGTGCCCATTGCAGCCTTATGCAGAGTACAAGAAACATAGAATCAGAATAAAACATTCTAGATATTGTGGGTAGAAACATCCTTATACCAGATGTGATTTTAGAAGGACTTACTTCACTCAGTAGTTGCCATGCGCTGGGTCCTTTATGACTCTTCTTAGGAGTTAATCTATTTCTTCTTTGAGAAAGTTCAATCATCACTGTATGAGAAATGATTCCTCTTGATGTACTCAGAACCATTGAGTGGCACTGGACAAGTGACCTTCTATACTTCAGTTTCCAATCTGTAACAGGGGAATAATTATAGTACTCACCTCATACTTGTTATCATAAAAGGTTAAATATAAAATGCTTAGATGATTGTCTGGCATGGATAGGACCTATATATTTTTTTCCTTACGTCATTATCACCATGCTTTGTAATATGATCCTATAGTTTCACAAACATGAGTATATTATAATAATTTATATCTTTGATGTATCCCAAGAGATGAATTCCTTTGGATCAAAGTCTGTTTCCTGAATTTTTATATTACCAAAGTTAGCACTTGTCTAGAACATATTAGATCCCAAATAAATATTTCTTTAATGGTGGATAGATAAGTAAATGGAAAAACAAATACATTTTTGCCAAAACATCAAGTTGGATGTTCCCTATTACAGTCCCTCTTTCTGTTTTCTGCTTCTGGTTCTTAGCTTCATCCTTTAATTAGTTACATAGTTAAATTAGAACCAGGTAAATTAGAACCAACAAAGATTATACCTAAAGTCAATAAAAATATTTTGAACCTCAACCATAAACAAAGCTCTTATTTTTATTTTTTTTTTTAGGGCAGTTTCCTCATTAATGGCATGTTTGTCACAGAAGACCTAAAGCATGATAACTGATACTATAGTTAGGACAGGCAGAATATTGGTCTTAACCTTAAGGGGAATATATTTAGTTTTGTGTGAAAGATCATGATTTAGTGTCTAAGTAAGAGCATTATCAAAATGTGATCATTAGGGACTCAAGCTTCTGTCTGTAAACCAGGTTATCAGGTTGACGGTAGAACCACATGACCTAAACAAGTTAGCTGTTCTGCTTTGGAAACCCATGGAAATGCCAAAAGCTAACAGAATTCTTAGGTGTGATCCAGATTAATTTCAGAGCAGTTTTTAAAGTTTAAGAAGAAATGGTCTTTTCTTGTTTCCTCCTTCTCACCAAAGCATGGACTATTTATATCACATATTAATAGTTCTGACTTAGTGCACAGGTGTCATTAATGTGAAAAACAGCTCCTTCTACATGATTCTGAGAATGACAAATGCAATCTAAACAATGAACTTCCACAAAGTTCAACTGCTTTCAATTGAAATCAACAATGAAAATTACATCTTCCATATAAGCAGAGAGAAGAATGAAGAGGAACTGTACCCTCGTTGCAGAAAGGCTATAATGATGAACTGGAATGTAATTAAATGCTAAATATATAGAGAAAAACTATTTTACACAATCATTGTATGATCTGTATTCAAATTAAAGGAGAAGAAAAGATTTTAGTTAGATAGTCTTCAAGTATGGGTGGACATGTGGGAAAAAAATGAGTATAGAATTATCAGGGATGGTTTATATGCCCAGAAGTTGGTCATACTCTTTCTTTTCCTATGCATCCTAAAAGAAGAGTTGATTTTTACTCAATCTCCTGTTAGGTGCCAGGCTAAATAAGTTTTTTTAATTGGTATTTATTTATTTAAAAGATTATTTATTTATTTTAGAGAGACAGAGAGAGAGAGAACCAGAGTGCATAAGCAGGAGGAGCAGCAGAGGGAAAGAGAGAGAATCTCATGCAGACTCCAAGCTGAGCACAGAGCCCTATGCAGGGCTCAATCTAATGACCCTGAGATCATGACCTTGAGATCATGAGCTAAGCTGAAACCAAGAGCCAGACAATAAATGGACGAGCCACCCAGGTGTCCTTCTTACTGGTATTTAAATAGGAGTAGAGAATATTAAATCTTAAAGGGAACTTAGAGCTCATTGATTCAATTCCCTTCTTTTTACTGATAAAGACGGGGCATGAAAATTATAGCTATTAAGAGATTTCCTCAAAATGCCAGTTAATAACCAGTACAAACAAAACCCAATCCCAAGTTCACTGCCTTCAAAATATAAAAAAACCTCCTGCAGACAAAGGTAGGCTTTGATCACCACAGAGCTGAGAACTTCAATTTAAAGAAATTTAAGATTGAGGCACCTGGGTGTCTCAGTCAGCTAAGCATCTGTCTTCTGCTCAGGTCATGATCCCAGGATCCTGGCATCAAGCCCTGCATCAGGCTCCCTGCTCAGTGGGGAATCCGCTTCTCCTTCTCACTTGGGAGCTCCCCCTGCCTGTTCTCTCTCACTCTCTGTCAGATAAATAAATAAGTTTTTAAAAAATAAATAAATAAAAAGATCTAAGCTTGATATGGACACATTTCACTAGGAACCACCATGGAAAATCATATGCCACTCTAATGCTCCTCCTTGTGAATCACACTGTGTAACTTGGAAAGAGACAACAATGCCTGAACACCTGATTTATTTTTAATAAATCAACTGTGAGTACACTCTTACCCAAGACTAACACGTACCTAGACTAACACATATCTACTTATGAAAGTATTAGACTAATTCCATACTAACACAAGTACTCCATGTGCACACATTGGTGCCCTCTACTGGGACTCCAGCCTCCCAATAATTCAGCGATCAAAGTATTAAGTAGTAGCATGATAGGATTCTCTAAGACCCAACTCTGAAACTGGCTTCTATTCATTCATGGGTGATCGTGGTTGTTTTGTGTTTTTTTGGTTGTTTGTTTGTTTTTGTTTTTTATTTATTTATTTGACAGAGAGAACGAGAGAACAAGCAAAGGGGGAAGGGGAAGCAGCAGGCAGAGAAAGGAGCAGGACCCCTATTGAGCAGGGAGCCCAATACAGGACGCAATCCCAGGGCCCTGAGTACATGACATGAGCCAAAGGCAGATACTTAGCCCGCTGAGCCACCCAGGCACCCAAGTGATCATGGTTGTTAAATATGTTGGTGTTGTCCCTGGACCAGCTCCTCCATTTCCCTTCTGTAAATGTTAAATGGCAGCCTTTGAATCAAGTACCCTGTTACCTCCCTATTTATCTGGAGATAAACTAGGCATAATGAATAACCGCTATTCAATGCATTAATAAGAATTGGACGTTTAAATATCTAATGTTCCATTGAAAAGTCTGCTAATGTGCCACTCTGAAAGTCTAGGATAACTGTTGAAAGATTAAAAGACACTTCTGCTTAGAAATAAGACTCAAAGCATGTAGTCTAAAGTTTCCGGCACAAATTATTTTCTTGTGGTATAACACTGTGCCCTTAAGTAGTGCTACCAATACAAACCATTCCTGCTTCAATCCAAAAGACTAATGGACAAGTTAGAATCTTCAAAGGTGGAGAAAGAGTCTATCTCCTGCCTCCAGGACTGCACCCCAAACCCTGTGAAAACTTGGCCCATCAAACCGATGCAACATTTTGTTTAAAAAGCAGTCAAAATGTGGAGTGGAAAGTCGTCAGTGAATATCTCCCCCTGTAAAAAAGAAAGACAACAGGGAAACCAAGTTGGTGTCTGAGATAAAATAGAAAGAGGAAATGAGCACTCTAACAAAATACCACATAAAACGTAAACCAGCACAGAACAAATAAAATAATGCAAACCGGGAACAATCCAAACCGATACAAACAAGTGCAAAGGGTCTTATTGGCACACTGGCAGACTCAGAATCTGAGAACGACAGAAGTATTTAATTGTAGAGTAATACTTAAATGATGTTTTACCTCAAGAGAATCATCCCAGTGAAGAATGTGAAAACGGTTGGGCAGCTGTGTCCACCCCTTCTAACAAAAGCCCAGCTGCAGGAAGAAAAGCCAGAAACAGAAAGGAGACAAAGAATAATGAATGAGAGGATGAAATCTAGAAAGAAAGAGAGAAATTAAAATGAGACAGTGAAAAATTAAGCTGCAACTCAGAAAGATAGGCCAGAAAAAAAGCTTTAAACAAACTGTAGTAAATGTAATTTAGAATGTTTTTAAACTCAACTACGGAAAATAAGGCTTTCTGGAAACTAATTTGTAAGACTGGCAAATACGTGGAATTCTTGCCTCAGTGTAGAATGACTGAAAGATGGGCCTATGCATAAACCATGTTGGCCCTGGGTTGGCCAGAGCAATTTACGAAGCACCCGCCACCGAGAAAATGGTTGAATGTTTGGCTGCTTTTCTCTGGTTCTCAGTCTGAAACAAAGTACAAAGCCTCCACAGTTCTCCAATATAGCAAAAAGGAAAAGACGTGATTTGTAGCTTAGGAAAGCATATAAGAAACTTTGTACTGAAATTATGATAATGGTCAAGGGCCTTACAATTTTATGGCAAACAAATGAACACTAGAAGAGGCAATTCAGCCCAGTGGATGGGCTCTGCAAGCAGACTACTTAAGTTCAAGTCTGTTCTACCCACTTCCTAGCCTTGTGTTCTTGATGAAGTTCCTTAACCCTTTCGAACTTCAGGTTCCCCATAGCTAACATGGGAAAGCAGTGATGCCTAACGCAGAGGTTTATTATGAATATTAAATAAACTAACCTGTATAAAACTATCAGAACAGTGTTTGCCAATGTTCGATAAATGATAACTCTTATTATTTTGTGTATTCTTCATGCCATCTCTGCTACACTCCAAAAAGGTCTGATTTGGTTTGTTTTATATTTAGCTCGTTGTTAACACGTATAATATGTTTAGTAAATGAGTAACATTAGATGACTTAATATCATGCCTACAACAAGTTAATAAATGAATGTGTGTTGAGCACTTTCCCTGGGCTCAGCAGTGCAGTGCATAAGGTACTTATTTAAAAACAAACAAACAAACAAAAACAAACAAAAAAAAACTTCTTTCCTTTATTTATTTGAGAGAGAAAGAGAGCATGAGCCAGGAGAGGGACAGAAGGACAGAATCCCAAGCTGACTCCCCGCTGAGTGCAGAGCCCAATGTGCAGGGCTCAGTCTCATGACCCTGAGATCATGACCTCAGCAGAAACCGAAATTCAGACACTCAACTGACTGAGCCACCCAGGCACCCCCCCAAAGGTACTTATTCAGTGACCAAATAGAGTCCAGCTTTATGTCAAAGTAGGTAGTACCAAAATCTAAGTTCAATAGATACTAGAACGCAGGGTAAATACGTGAGAACCAGGATCATCAGAGAAGGTTTTGGGAGAAAG